TTTAACATTAAATTATCCTAACTTGCATTTGAATTACCTAGTTAAAATGTATATATACATTAATAGTGGGAACATTTGTCTGAGCCTAATGTGCTTCGTATATCTGTATCATTGCTAATGGGTGATGTTCTATTTTCTTATCCATCGATTACTTAGGAAGGCGCTGGAATTGCTATTATTTTTTCAAAAGCACCATTTGATGACTTAAGAGAATGTCAAACGCGCTCTTCACTGACTCCTCTTGATCGCAGTGGTATTCGTCTATTTGATTTGGTTGATTGTCCTCCAAGATCAAGTAGAAAGCGGATCAACTATACAAAAAGAGTCAAGCGGGAAGTTACAAAGTTAGAAACTCTTTCTACTTCTCAACCTTCAAATCTGAAATCTTGTGACGATTTATTCGACCACCTTGAATTCGACCCAAAACCAAGCCACCAAGCGCAGCGGTTTAAAAGTTCCAGAAAAGCCGCGAAGAAAGCTGCTAGAAGATTGCATTATGAAATACAGAAGACCCATAATGAAGCACTTGTTTCTGATGAAGTTATGATGCCCAAAAATGTGTAACTAATTCTATTGTTCTAATTGATGATGATTGTCTGATTTTAGCCTTTGTCTTCTGTTACTTTTTAAGGCACTAATTCAGTAAAATTGGGATAATATCTAGGTGGCAATTTATCAAGGTGTGATTCTCAACTTTGACACCACTTAAAATTGAAAATTAAGTTATTGTGTTATTTTTTGCTCGGGCTTAAAACGATGCAGGCTTCTTATTTTTTAATCTAATAGCGTATTCAATATTGTTGATCTCCTTTATCAACTGCCTAACCAAGTATTGCCTTTTATTTTATCGAAATTCATTCTAAAATGGATATTTTATCTTATAAAAGGTTGCTTCAGCTATATAATAGAGATATAATAATTACTATCTCAACTTGGTGACACGCCAGGCTTGGATTGCTTGACTACTGTACTAAGGCAAATCGATTGAATGGTCTTACCATTTTCATGAATTTTCCCGTTCTAAATCTGTTTTAATAAGCAGTGCTCCATTGTCAATAGATTTAGCTAGGTTAACAGACTGAACTTAGGCAGTATAAAGCGTAAATTTAGCTTGTATCTTATCATAGCCCACAAAGATACTATAAACGTCAAATAGAAATATTTTAGCATATTGTTTTTCCATCAATACTTCATAGAATGGGAATTTTGCGGCGGTGCCCCCTCACTAGTCGATTTTAATAAGAATTTTC